GACCACTCCCTAATCATAGACCACTCCCTAACCATAGACCACTCCCTAATCATAGACCACTCCTGATCATAGAACGATCGGCATTAAAGGGCTAAAACAAGGACTGGTCGGCTCGGAGTCAGTATACTGTGTCTGAGTGGGGTATTCATGTTAAACTGCGGCATGGTATCTCAGTGTGCTAGCACTATAAATCGGCATCAGTCCGAACTAGTACATGCAGCCACACACACAAACGTGCATGCACGTCGCTATATAAGTGCAATAATCTTGGACGCGACGTTTAACCCCATTTCACCTCACCTCATAGAACACTCCCTAATCATAGACCACTCCCTAATCATAGACCACTCCCTGATCATAGACCACTCCTGATCATAGAACACTCCCTGATCATAGAACACTCCCTGAGCCCATAGACCACTCTCTAATCATAGACCACTCCCTGATACCATAGACCACTCCCTGATCATATACCACTCCCCGAGCCCCTAGATCAGTCCCTGATCATAGCCCACTCCCTAATCATAGACCACTCCCTGATCATAGACCACTCCCTGAGCCCCTAGACCACTCCCTAATCATAGACCACTCCCAGAGCCCCTAGATCACTCCCTGATCATAGAACACTCCCTGAGCCCCTAGATCACTCCCTGATCATAGAACACTCCCTGAGCCCATAGACCACTCCCTGATCATAGACCACTCCCCGAGCCCCTAGATCAGTCCCTGATCATAGAACACTCCCTAATCATAGAACACTCCCTGATCATAGACCACTCCCTAATCATAGACCACACCCTGATCATAGACCACTCCCTGATCATAGAACTCTCCCTGATCATAGAACACTCCCTGAGCCCATAGACCACTCTCTAATCATAGACCACTCACTAAACATAGACCACTCCCTAATCATAGACCACTCCCTGATCATAGAACACTCCATTATCATAGAACACTCCCTGATCATAGAACACACCCTGAGCCCTTAGACCACTCCCTGATCATAGACCACACCCTGATCATAGACCACTCCCTGATCATAGAACACTCCCTGAGCCCATAGACCACTCTCTAATCATAGACCACTCCCTAATCATAGACCACTCCCTGATCATAGACCACTCCCTGATCATAGAACACTCCCTGATCATAGAACACTCCCTGAGCCCATAGACCACTCTCTAATCATAGACCACTCCCTAATCATAGACCACTCCCTAATCATAGACCACTCCCTGATCATAGAACACTCCCTGATCATAGAACACACCCTGAGCCCTTAGACCACTCCCTGATCATAGACCACACCCTGATCATAGAACACTCCCTGATCATAGAACACTCCCTGAGCCCATAGACCACTCTCTAATCATAGACCACTCCCTAATCATAGACCACTCCCTAATCATAGACCTCTCCCTAATCATAGAACACTCCCTGATCATAGACCACTCCCTGATCATAGAACACTCCCTGATCATAGAACGCTCCCTGATTATTGAACGTCCCCTGAGCCCATAGACCACTCCCTGATCATAGAACACTCCCTAATCATAGACCACTCCCTGATCATTGAACGTCCCCTGAGCCCATAGACCACTCCCTGATGATAGAACACTCCCTAATCATAGACCACTCCCTGATCATAGACCACTCCCTGATCATAGAACACTCCCTGATCATAGAACACTCCCTGAGCCCATAGACCACTCTCTAATCATAGACCACTCCCTAATCATAGACCACTCCCTAATCATAGACCACTCCCTGATCATAGAACACTCCCTGATCATAGAACACTCCCTGATCATAGAACACACCCTGAGCCCATAGACCACTCCCTGATCATTGAACGTCCCCTGAGCCCATAGACCACTCCCTGATCATAGAACACTCCCTAATCATAGACCACTCCCTGATCATAGAACACTCCCTAATCATAGACCACTCCCTGATCATAGAACACTCCCTGATCATAGAACACACCCTGAGCCCTTAGACCACTCCCTGATCATAGAACACTCCCTAATCATAGACCACTCCCTGATCATTGAACGTCCCCTGAGCCCATAGACCACTCCCTGATCATAGAACACTCCCTGATCATAGACCACACCCTGATCATTGAACGTCCCCTGAGCCCATAGACCACTCCCTGATCATAGAACACTCCCTAATCATAGACCACTCCCTGATCATAGACCACTCCCTGATCATAGAACACTCCCTGATCCCATAGACCACTCCCTGATCATAGAACACTCCCTAATCATAGACCACTCCCTGATCATAGACCATTCCCTGATCATAGAACACTCCCTGATCATAGAGACCACTCCCTCATCCCATAGACCACTCCCTGATCATAGACCACTCCCTGATCATAGACCACTCCCTGACCATAGACCACTCCCTGATCATAGAACACTCCCGATACCACCGTGAGACAATAGATCACTCACCTATGGAGACCGACCCTGAACCACAGAGACCACATCTTGACCATAGAGACTACTCCCCTACCATAGAGACCGCTCCCCAACCACAGAGACCACTCCCAGTCCATAGAAACCACTCCCTGTCCAGACTACTTTCCCACCACACAGACCGCTCCACCACCATACAGACCATTCCCTGTCCATAGAAACAACCACCCCCACAGTCTATAGAAACCACTCCCTGTCCATAGAGATCACGCCCGGACCATAGAAACCACTCCCCATCCATAGAGACCACTCCCTCACCATAGAGGCGACACCCTGTCCATAGAGACCACTCCCAGAACATAGAGATCACTCCCTCACCAATGAGACCACCCCCTGACCATAGAAACCACCCCCAGACCATAGAGATCACTCCCTCACCAAAGAGACCACTCCCTCACCATAGAGACCACACCCTGTCCATAGAGATAACTCCCGGACCATAGCAACCACCCCCTGTCCATAGAGATAACTCTCGGACCATAGAGACCACACCCTGTCCATAGAGATAACTCACGGACCATAGCAACCACTCCCTGTCCATAGAGATAACTCCCGGACCATAGAGACCACTCCCTCACCAAAGGGACAACTCCCTGACCATAGAAATCACTCCTAGTCCATAGAGATAACTCCCGGACCATAGAGACCACTCCCTCACCATAGAAACCACACCCTGTCCATAGAGATAACTCCCTGACCATAGAAACCACTCCCAGTCCATAGAGATAACTCCCGGACCATAGAGACCACTCCCTCACCATAGAGACCACACCCTGTCCATAGAGATAACTCCCGGACCATAGAAACCACTCCCAGTCCATAGAGATAACTCCCGCACCATAGAGACCACTCCCTCACCATAGAGACCACACCCTGTCCATAGAGATAACTCCCGGACCATAGAAACCACTCCCAGTCCATAGAGACCACTCCCAGTCCTTAGAAACCACTCCCTGTCCATAGAGACCACACCCTGTCCATAGAGATAACTCCCGGACCATAGAAACCACTCCCAGTCCATAGAGACCACTCCCAGTCCATAGAAACCACTCCCTGTCCATAGAGATAACTCCCGGACCATAAAGACCACTCCCTCACCATAGAGACCACACCCTGTCCATAGAGATAACTCCCTGACCATAGAGACCACTCCCTCACCAAAGAGACCACTCCCTGACCATAGAAACCACTCCTAGTCCATAGAGATCACTCCCTCACCAAAGAGACCACTCCCTCACCATAGAGACCACACCCTGTCCAGAGATAACTCCCTGACCATAGAAACCACTCCTAGTCCATAGAGATCACTCCCTCACCAAAGAGACCACTCCCTCACCAAAGAGACCACTCCCTCACCATAGAGACCACACCCTGTCCATAGAAACCACTCCCTGTGCATAGAAACCACTCCCCCAGCAGACCACTCCTGGACCATAAAGAGCACAACCTGGCCATAACAAACGTCTAGACTTTAAACAACATTCACACACACCATGGAGACTACCCTACCCATAGTCAGTAATGTTGTTTTACGACTTAATCAGCAATGTCCAAGCTATATCACCTTACCCAGTGGTTGTTACGAGTCAAGATATCAGGGTATAATAACACGTTATAAACCAAGTAACCATGGATCCATTTCAGTGACTTCCTACAACAGAGTAGGTTCCTTAGGACAAATTGTATCTTCCTGTGAATATTTAGTTTCAGAACTTGGTGCTGTTGTAAAAGACAACCTTAGCAGTAAAACAGTCATAAGTCTATGTTAAGGTATGGGAGTTACGATCACCTTAGACATAAGTTCGCTTTGTACAATAACCCCCGGGTCTTCAGCAACCCAATGCTTGCCTAAATAGGCAACTGTGCTTGTCATAAGAGCCAACAAATGGGATCGGGTGGTAGGGCTCGCTGACTAGGCTGATGCGTGTCATCGTATCCCAATTGCATAGATCGATGCTCATGTCAGTCATTGGGTAGTCTATTCTTGATTATTTACAGACCATCATATAGCTGGAATGTGACGTTAAGCAACAAAAAACAAAACCAATTGTATCTTAGAGATCCCACAGGGACCTGACCGCATAAACCAACCCTCACATAACGTTACCATTTCAACCATCAATACGACTGCAATCACCTCACATTCATAGTTTAACAAGGAGGTGAGGTGAAATGGGGTTTAACGTCATATCCAAGATTATTGCACTTATATAGCAACATGCATGCATGTGTGTGTGGTGTGGCGGCTGGTACTTGTCCAGACAAATGCCGAGTTTATAGTACAAGGCCACAAGATACCATGCCACAGTTGAACATGAATACCCCATTCAGACACAGTAAACTGACACCTAGCCGTCCAAACATCAGACAGGGTAACAACAAGTACATCTTTCAACGTCTTTTTGTATGACGCAGCAGGGGATCTAACCTGGACCTTCCGCTCTCCGGGCAGACACTCTACCACTTGACGACGGAGGCGGTCGTGTGTACAGAGGAACAACAGCAGGGGCATTAACCATGAAATGTTTTATTCCATATTAGTATGTAAAGCGTAGTCGGCTGGAGCCTTTACATAGAGGTAGTCATTATAAAACAATGTAATAATAATAATAATAATAATACGTAAGTAAGAACGAGGTACACGTTGTCTCGGTCGACCATCAACACAAAATGCCTATTGTAATCTTAAGACTATTCTCTGTTGTGGGTGCTGACAAGATACTATCTTCCTGGTCATCAGTGTGTTCCATCATATAGCCATGGCAACTAATATATGCAAGATTTAACTAATTAGTTCTCAATAACAATTAACTGTTGGAACATTTGCAAAATATACAAACCAATAATATTTGTCAGTGGTAACAGTGTTATATAGTTTAACAAAGTGGTAGAGAAATTTCATTATATGTCAATTTTGTCAATTAAAGTAGCTTGGCATTGAAACATGGAATAACTGTGGAACAAACTCCTGATCAACAAGCAGTCAAATGAAACATGTAGGATATAGCTGTAGTTTGTGTCTACTGTGTTTGATGATGGCGCAGGGGGCAGGACAGTCCCCTACCATCACATCCCACTTCCACCACTAGCAGTAGTCTCACACCATCACATCCCACTTCCACCACTAGCAGTAGTCTCACACCATCACGCCCCACTTCCACCACTAGCAGTAGTCTCACACCATCACGCCCCACTACCACCACTAGCAGTCGTCTCACACCATCACATACCACTTCAACCACTAGCAGTAGTCTCACACCATCACATACCACTAGCAGTACAGTCTCACACCATCACGTCCCCACTTCCACCACTAGCAGATGATTAATAAGCATGCATAGCAGCTGTAGGGAGTGTTACTAGTGTTACATAGTTACTTGACCTAATTGAGGAGAACAGCTGGGACAAGACTGACTGTTACCGGGACATGGCTAGACTTAAAGACATGCACAGCCAAGAGGCCGATTCAGCACTGCAGCAGTGAGTAGAATGGATGTGTTTTGTGTGTATGACATCTTTGTTCCAGGCTGGGTCCAGGCTGGGTCCAAGGGGAGGCAACTCTGGCCTTGAACCCCTGAACAGCTTGGTTCAAGGGGAGGTAACTCTGGCCTTGAACCCCAGGACAGCTGGGTCCAAGGGGAGGCAACTCTGGCCTTGAACCCCTGAACAGCTGGGTCCAAGGGGAGGCAACTCTGGCCTTGAACCCCTGAACAGCTTGGTCCAAAGGGGGGCAACTCTGACCTTGAACCCCTGAACAGCTGGGTCAAGGGGAGGCAACTCTGGCCTTGAACCCCTGAACAGCTGGGTCCAAAGGGGGGCAACTCTGGCCCTGAACCCCTGAACAGCTGGGTCCAAAGGGGGGCAACTCTGGCCTTGAACCCCTGAACAGCTGGGTCCAAGGGGAGGCAACTCTGGCCTTGAACCCCTGAACAGCTGGGTCCAAGGGGAGGCAACTCTGGCCTTGAACCCCTGAACAGCTGGGTCCAAAGGGGGGCAACTCTGGCCCTGAACCCCTGAACAGCTGGGTCCAAAGGGGGGCAACTCTGGCCTTGAACCCCTGAACAGCTGGGTCCAAAGGGGGGCAACGTGGCCTTGAACCCCTGAACAGCTGGGTCCAAGGGGAGGCAACTCTGGCCTTGAACCCCTGAACAGCTGGGTCCAAAGGGGAGGCAACTCTGGCCTTGAACCCCTGAACAGCTGGGTCCAAAGGGGGGCAACTCTGGCCTTGAACCCCTGAACAGCTGGGTCATGGGGAGGCAGATGGTGCCTCAGAACACGGGCCAGCAATGCTTCTTCCTCCCCCCTGGAGATGCTGAGTATGGTTTAATGTCCATTCTAGCAATATTCCAGCCATGTCTCTGCAGGGGACAAGAAGTACTGGCACAGCACCTAATTGGGAAATCTAACTTAGGTCTTAGGTGTAACAAACGACCACCACGCTATTTCACTGTCAACAGTGCCATCAAAAGTAGAGGTCATATTTTTAACAGAGCATCTAAGAAAATCTTGTTAGCCAACTTCTGCATACATTAATTCACACACAAACGAAATCAAAATAGAATTAGAAATTTCAGGAAGCATCTTGGGACCCAATAATACTTCATTGAGTTTGATATACGCAAATACACAGTTCCGATTCCCTGCCCCAATGTACACTATGTATATGAATAATAAAAATGCTAAAATTGTAATAAAAATTCAAAATCTACACTGCTCTCACACCTTGGATGAAAAGAAGACACAGACTTACATACATACATACATTCGGACAAATACAATCTGGTTAAACTAAAGGAAATATATATGTGCCAAAACAAAGCATCAAATACAACCATATAAAGTTACTCTTACACAAGCTTGGCCCCCAAATGGAAGGTGGGTGAATGCAGCATAACAAGTCTATCATGCATCCACAATATCACATGTGTGTTACAGAATACAACAGGACAATCTGCTGAAAATAGTTCTAAATGTGACTGACACACAATGATTGCCCTACAAGTGCTCATAACAGCGAGCGAGGTCGTATTTACCAACACAGATACAGTTTGTTGACTACATGACTTAAAGAGTCCTATTTTGTAAATGCATCATCAGTTCTAGGTTTGTTAATGTCTGAAACGCCTCTAAACCTATACACCAACAAGGAATTACAGAATTTGATTATTTCATTGTTTTCACAATCAGTTCTATCTACCTACATACACTAAGTACCTCTCTACAGAAACAGGTATCCACAACAGCTGACAGCTGAAAATTCTACCTCTTGTAACCATGGTAACAGTGAATTAATAGATGTGTCACCTTTGCAAAAGACCTGGTCATACATTCTACAGTACACATAACAGACAGTAAAATTTGAGAAACATCAACAAATCATCACTAAATATCCCCGAACTAGATAATTCTTAACAAATTCTCAATATATACAATTACGTTTCAACAAGTTGTGAGTAGGAAGAATTATCAGTCAAAGTCAAGACACATACAGGCAGAATGCTACTTCCCTTTTGAATGGTGCCCATACCAAAATGTAAAGATCAATTTGCAGTTATTAAATTTAAAAAAAGCATGAAAACTGACATCTTCATGTCACTTGCTTTTTCTCTTGATCAACTTTGTTTATGGCGTAGTAAAAGTAAGCCTGCCAAAGAGATCTGAAATTTTCAGTTCAAACAACTTCATCATGAAAGGGAGATAACTTGTGCCTGTTAACAACAGGACGGACACACAGACAGACCTACAGATGAAGGGGAGACAACTGACAACACAGGAGAGAGGAGAGCAGGACAGGGTAAACGTGAGGACAGGCTCAAGAATCTTCAGTCTGTTAAACAGAACTCTACATAAGTACTAAAACAGGTTTACATCAAGTCTGGCTTGTAAAACTTAGTCTCCAATATAACTGCTGTTCCAAAATATACATGTAATAGCAGTCACTGACATTCATGTACATCCATATGCCCACCACACGGAACATAGATCTATCTAAACAATAACAGGATTAAATCTCATTTACATACTTCTGTACAACTCAACATGGATTTCCACTATAACTCTAGGCTGTTACAACATGTCCACCACGCCCACAGTGGAGCCCGCCATGTCAGCCTCCGATCACAACAGTCCCCACAATCCACAGTTAAATGAAAGTCCACTTCAGGTCATCAAGTCTCTGTGAATAATTGAGCAGCAAAACTGTTCTCGAATATCATTAGTTTGTCCCTTTGGCAATTACTGAGTGGGAATTGTGTTTCCATCCTCAGAAATTATACCATTTGAAAAGGTTACCAGTTTTCTTTTCCAAATAATGCAAACAAAAGACAAATTAACACAAACCCAATATCTGTGATTAATTTGAGAAAATCAACCTTGTGTTTCAAATATTCATCCAATATCTACTTTAATGCTGACATAATAAGGTGTATTCAGGGAATCAAACGAAGGTTGTCAACATGAGCAAACACCCCATCCACTGGGCCACCCAGTGTGGGTCACACTCAAATTCCATATTCACAGACACTTGATGCTTCCAAACTCGTCATCAGCTATCACAAAATGTGGAAAAATATCAGGCAGTAAAAACCCAGCGGCTCCTACCATGGTGTCCGGCCAGTCCATGTACCACAAAAGCTATCGTCAGCAAGGTTTTCGACACAAAAAATCTCTATATTTCATCTAGATTCATGAAACAGGATATCTTCCAATTTACCAACAATCTAGTCAAGCCTTTGCCAAAAGCATCAAATGTTCAGAAGCAAGATTCTCTAACATATTTGCTACAGTTGACTTATGTCACAATGAGAAACAGGCGACTGACTAGAACACAACACTTCAAACCTAATCACTTATATTTTTAACATACAAATGAAACCTAACCACTTATATTTTTAACATACAAATGCTTTGTCTGTCAACATTGGTTGCAATGGTGTCTCCATAATTACTTTCATTTGTCTCAATGGTTGCTATGATTCGTATCCATGGCAACATCCACTTGGCCGACATGACAGGAGCCACCCCAGTAAAACTTTTGAAATGATCTATCACAATCATTGAAGGTAAAACAACTCTAAAACTATACTCTGTAAACAAACATCAATAATGGAATCATTTTCTCTCGATTCACAACTGAACAATATGTCACTGCGATACCTAGAATACTTTTTCATTCATCTATCATCATTCACCATGGCAACAGAATAACAACATGCATTTGCCAGCCAATCAAAATGAGGATAACATTTTGCTAGCCAATCAAAATGAAGATAACATTTTGGGTAACAACCTTCAATACAAACAGTGTCACATTCAAATGATCTATACTATATCTTATCATAAACTGTTGCCACGGTAACCATCACATATCATCTTTGACGTAACAAACGATGGTGTTGCTAAACACCGTCGTCTCCTGACCTTCAGCAGACCAAGGCTATGTTGTACCTGGAGATCTCCCGACTCCCCCTCAAGCCCTCCCACTGGCAACATTGTCTCTCCTGTTTATGTCATGGCCACGGGGATTCAGATATACAACCTCAAGATTGTCTTGTGGAAGGAATAATTCCCCCAAGTCATGGCCTCATGCTTGTTGCAGTGATGTTCAGGAAGGAGGATGGGTGAGTCAGAGACTGGTTTGAAGGATTCACGGAAACACCCAGTGACTTTTCAAACAGTGGAAGACGGTTCCGACAGTCGACCCTCGTTAAGTGGAAATCACAAGTGTTTTCTTCAAAATTCAATTAACTCAGAAAAATTCAACATTTCAAACGAATGACATTACAATAACATTTTAAAATTAAATTAAGATTTAGGATAAATCCTAGTTCACAATTTTTAAAAGTAAGCAGTAAGCATTTTTTGGGCCTGATTTGCTTATGCAACTATTTCGTGTCTGGTTAAACCGTGACAGATTATGTATAGTACGATGAAAGAATTGGATGCTCTTTAACTTCTTGTGAGTAATAAAATCTGATATTAAGAGCTTGTGTAGGACCAAAAGAAAGAATCCAGTTGTTTCCTAGTGGTGGAAAGACTACCTAACGAGAATCGACTTGTAGGGAGTAGAACCTAGGACCTAGGTGATGAGAGATCGCACCACCCACTGTGCTAGAGCACCATCTCATACGGTGTATCAATCATCTTAATGTTTTTTCCAAACAAATTTAATTGTGTAAATAATTTAAAAATATTTAATAAAATATCAATGAGGTCCAAGTACACAATTGGATTTTCTGGTCTGTAATCATTTTCCTCAAACTGGTTCTGTACAAACAACTTCTCAACAACGGAGCAGATATACACATTTCAACATGATAGTCTTGCAAGAGTTACCTCCCTGTAGTTGCATTGCACCACCCTGAGGCAGTAGTTTACAACAGCCTGAGGCAGTAGTTTACAACAGCTTGAGGCAGTAGTTTACAACACCTCAATTCAAGCAATAACAGTGCCTACCATCTGTACAACTCTGAAACACTTCACATGTACAGCACTTACAGCACTTGAGGGAGAATGTCCCTTCAGATACACACAGGCAGATGTAACTAAAGGGAGGTAACTCTCATGTGATATTGATAACAATGATTGATGGGTGAATGTAACAAGGAAACTGGCCATTATATACATCGCAGCGATATAACATATCATACACATTGCAGCAATATAACAGAATATACATCATTTTGATTTGATAACATTATTGCTGTAGAAAAATGATAAATTCTACCTGCCTGTAATTCACAAAGATCTAACGTCTCTACCAATACTGCGATTTATAAACAACATCAGCCCAGGAACTAACGAGTACAATGCTTCCTCCATATGGTGTACTGATATGATGTGGAACGATGAATCGTGAGGTGAATATTACTCTCCGGCTGAATCCATATGTACCTTAACATAACAAGTACTACCATTCTTAGCTACTTGAGATGGCTAATTGTGAGATTGCTACTATGAGGAAGTTATCCAAAATTGGCTTGATTACACACAATACAATCACTTCTAAACAAAGGGCAATAACTCCTATCTGCTCGTGATGATAATGTATGAAAAAGTATGTCATAAAAGGACACATGCTGTTAAAAATTCACTGTGATTTCTTGATGCTAACACGATGAAAATAGATGAGGCTTGTGAACTGAAAGACTCTGGAAATAAACTTTGTAAAACGTACTAAAAGATGCAACGAAATGCTAGGAGGAAACATTGTACGCAGTTGTGGAGCTCCTGGTAGGTGGCGGCGGGACAGATCAGACAGAGTCGTTATATTCCCCGCTGTCCAAACTCTCGGACTTGTGGACCTTGGTCAGGCAGTTGCCCTCTAGATGCTTTTCCAGGTTCTTGGGCGTGACGAAGCCTTCACCACAGCGCTGGCACTCGTTGCGAGACTTGAGCATATGTATCTGAGATTTCATGTGCCGGTTCAGGTCCGACTGGGTCACACCCTTGTAGTTGCACAGCTTGCAGCAGAACTCGCGGATACCTGGGACAAGGACAGATAACTCTACGTAACTTGTCAAAGAACTCTCCTAAACAGGGTTCTACACTAAAGACCAGCATTAGAAATTACCACCAATCCTGTAGCCCTTGCCAAACTGCCCAATAGTTAAGGTATCATAAGGTCTGGTAGAAATTTGCCATTGTTATGGATTATTCTATATGTTATCATTATAAGGACTCGTGGACAAAACAGTTACTTTCTAACGCTGAAGACTTGTTGCATAACACTCCTGGACCAAGGAAGGAGAACTCTATGTATGTTGTTAAATAATGCTCCTAGATCAAGGGCAGATAGCTACATAACTTGTTGCAGTACTCTCCTCAATCAAGGGCAGATAACTATTTGTTAAATAATGCTCAAAGAACAAGGGAAGATAACTCTATGTAAGTTGTTAAATAATACCCCTGGATCAAGGGCAGATAACTAAGTAAGTTGCTGCAGAAATCATGTGAAAGCAAGGGCTGATAACTCTAAAAAACTTTAAAACTTTAAAATTGGTATAGCTACTGACACAAGAAACCACATCTCCAAGGTCCCCAACAATAATACTAAGTTCAAACAGTGGGAAGGAAGCCAGTCGGCAGCTGAATGTGGAGGAGGACTCACCCTGGTGTCGCATCATGTGGACTTTCAGCTGGCTGTTGGTTCGCGCATAGTAGTCACAGTACTGACACTTGTATGGCCGGATATCTGTAACCATGGTTACAATGTCACATGATAATATTACAACAATTCCACAAGGCTATCTGGAATACACAGACTGCATAGTGTGGTAAGACAAAGTATCAAGAAATTGTTTCATAGGCATTACTAAGCAGTTGGCAGATGACAAAGTAGACACAATTTATGGATAACAACTTGGATAACAGTGGCCTTTACAGTAAATAAAGCTGTTATCCATACATTGTGTCTACTTTGAAAGTACCCATACCAACGCTTTTAACATCAACATCATCAATGTACTATGAAAACACTAATACTGTCAAAAAGGATTTTCTGGGCAAACTTTTTCTTTGTGCTAGACACAGAAGGAACAGCACCATGAGGCCACACCAGTTACATGTACACATTTACCCCTACCTGCCTCTACTCAACACCCTCTAACGTTGTCCCCCATACCCACAGGGATCAATGTGTTCCCTATGGAAGGCTACCGAGAGAACAACTTCTATATCTTGAAGTAGAAAACCCTATGGAAGGCTACCGAGAGAACAACTTCTATATCTTGAAGTAGAAAACCCTATGGAATGCTACCGAGAGAACAACTTCTATATCTTGAAGTAGAAAACCCTATGGAAGGCTACCGAGAGAACAACTTCTATATCTTGAAGTAGAAAACCCTATGGAAGGCTACCGAGAGAACAACTTCTATATCTTGAAGTAGAAAACCCTATGGAATGCTACCGAGAGAACAGCTTCTATATCTTGAAGTAGAAAACCCTATGGAATGCTACCGAGAGAACAGCTTCTATATTGTAATGTTGAAATCCCTATGGAAGGCTACCTAGAGAACAGCTTCTATGTCGTAATGTTGAAATCCCTATGGAAGGCTACCTAGAGAACAGCTTCTATGTCGTAATGTTGAAATCCCTATGGAAGGCTACCTAGAGAACAGCTTCGATGTCGTAATGTTGAAAACCATATGGAAGGCTTGTGAGAGAACAGTTCCTACAGTAAACTACGGTTATAACGAACTCGAAGGGACCATTAATTTTCGTTTGTAATAACCATAGTTCGTTATAAGCATATATACAGCATTTATACAACTAAATAATAAGTTTGTTATATTGGTCAGTTTGTAACAAGCGTGTTCGTTATAAACGTAGTTTACTGTATATCTTAGTGTTGAAACCCTATGGAAGGCTGCTAAGAGAACAGTTCCTAAATCACAATATTGAAAAAGCTATGGTATGCTACTGAGAGAAAGGTTTCTATATCTTCATATAGTGAGTGAGTGAGGTGGGTTTAACGCCGTTTAACAGTATTCCAGTTATATTACGGCATGTCAGTTTTATGTGGGAGGAAAGCCCAAGTGATGCAGGTTTCAGACGTTTTCCACTTCGGTGAAACCCACGAGCACGGGTATGGTGCTGACAAACCTAGAAACGTAATTTGGGCAAATCAAGATTCAAACCCACGATCATAGGTTTCTGGCGTGTCCAAGAGATGCAACTCTGCACAGCGAATCGCGGTGCCTTGGGCCACACTTGCCCCCTCTTATTGTGGAAAACCCTATGGGATGCTACTACGAGAAGAGCTCCTACCCTCGTGGAAGTCCATGTGTCGGTTGATATCGGAGATATCTAAATGTTGAAAACCCTATGGGATGCTACTACGAGAAGAGCTCCTACCCTCGTGGAAGTCCATGTGTCGGTTGATATCGGAGATATCTAAATGTTGAAAACCCTATGGGATGCTACTAAGAGAAGAGCTCCTACCCTCGTGGAAGTCCATGTGTCGGTTGATATCGGAGAATGACAGGAAGTCCTTGGAGCAGAAAACACATCGGTAGACGGTGCGTCCATCAGCCAGGATGGTGGGTTTGCAAACCTGTTCCCTATCAACTGGTTGGTTGACTACATGCAACCTGGCAGAAAATTTTCTTGAATTAAAAATAAAAGAAAAATTAATCTACTGATAAGTTGTGACCCAGAGTGATGATGATGATGATGATGACAGCAGCAGTAAAACAATGGCTTCATGTTGGTGTTTGTTGCAACAGAGAAAAGTAATATTAATTTCAAATAAAAATACAAATTATTTTCGGATAAATCATGTATCAACATAAACTTCTGAATTTTAGGGACATTAATTTTATGATACATTCATATCAAGAGTACATTTATGACATGTTACTGAAATATGATAATTCACTTCAGATACGAGAGTTTTTAAATGTTACAGGTATTTTTTTTTTTTTATTCATGCTACTTCGCATGTTAAGAACATTTCCCTAGAAGTAACAATGCAAAATCGAAAAAATATCTCGAATTGATAAAGATATATGAACATTTATGAACGAAATTTGTTTGGAAAAACATGAGAATTGACGAAGAAACTGCACAGGAGGCCAGCATCATGCCACACACACTATCACATCATGCCACAAAATTGTTATGTCTTGACCAAAACTGCAATCTGATCAAGAGTTGTCTCCCCTCATCTGAACACATCCTAATAATTATGTTCACAAAAATAACATTGTTCTAAACACATGCTACACACATGATTAATTGAATCTCTTAACTGTTTAGTACTAGTTGATTTTGGTGAGTTAACCAGCAGATATTTTGTATGACAGTACTTTAATACTTATTGAATTGTTTTGTTGAGATTTAATTATTGCATCTTGAATTACGAAAAATATTTTTTAATTCCTACGACATAGACACCATTTAGAGTTATCACCACATTACTCACAGATTAGGTTATGTCAAGGTAGGGAGTTGTACGACTCCTGTTTTCAATTTTTTAACCAAGTAGCTTTATCTTGAAGTTGAGAAAGACAAAATATTTCTGCCCTGCTTACAAGTAGAACACAAATGTGACTACTATCTACAACCTGTCACCATGAGCCGATATAAAGAAATGTGTTTGAGACACGGACGCTGTCCACTAGACATATTCGACAGTGTCCGTCCAAAGGCCAGTTACACTAACAGATGGTTCCACAGTCCAATCAGCATCTCTTCAACATTATCTACACATAGCCGGATGCCATGATAGATTTTATACTTGATCACTTAATCACAAAAGGCCTGAGAAAATATCAACAATTTTGCTAAGGGCCAATCATGTAAATGGCTGCAGGATATTTCCAATAGCTTCACTATTTTCATTACGAAAAATAATATATTTAAATATATATAAATGATAGCATGCTGGTGCTTTTTTCCTAACTAAATTACCAGTTTAGTAATGGTGAGTGAGTGAGCGACAGAGGTTCAATGATGAGCAATGATCAGTCACTATGACTACAGGTGACAATGGGCCTGTAGTGTTTGGAAGTCTGCCCCAGGCTCTTAGCGAACATTTTTACTACTGCAGAATGCAGAAACACTCCAATATGGGTTAAGACTCGTCAGACATTTTCGACTCCAAAACAAGTTTGGTTAGTTGTAACCATGGTAACACAATACCGTGGCTGGTAGCTAGACAGACCTGGTCAACCATGAGACATGCAGTAGACACAACATCCAACACAGACCACACACACTTCACGTGGAGGAGAGTCTAAAATGCCGACAGCTTGAACAGTTTTTTCCTTTCACAGCTGTTGCATTTTACCTTTTTGCTGCAAATGCATTTATTAGTTTATGAATGATGCACAACTCTGGGTCAACCATCAGTAGATATTTTTCTACAAGCACAACAATGACAGCAGAACGCAATTATCTACAAATAAAGAGGAGATACAGGTAGAAAGTAAACGAGAAAACAGACATGTCAGGTGAAAAGACTGATTTTGATAACTGTTTCATTTCACAAAGAATGAATTCACTTAGACAATGCAGACTGTCGTAGGGAGTCAGTTGGGTTTAACGCCACTTTTACCACTATTCCAGCAATATCACGACAAGAAGACCTGAAATAGGCTTCACGCTGTATTCTTGGCCTTCAGTGCAACAAATGAATAATGTAACCACTAGGCTACCCCCATCACACCCTTAGTTGTACAGTATCTCTAAAATGGTTTTGTGGAAGACCTGGGCCCTGTATAACAAATCCATCTTTGTGCTAAGGCTGTCTGAAGTCATAAATGGACATACAACAGCTGCAGAGCAATGATGGCTTTGTGAAATGGTGCCCTTATTAATATCATAATAATAATGAATCTGTAGAAGTAACATTGTAATGACAACATGATTACTTGAGTTAAAAATGCATACATAGTTTTCTGAGCAAAATAACAATTCACATGCTACTGTCTTTTCACAGTCTTCCAATATGTCCAAATCAATCTTTTCACCTTTCACAATATATATTTTTTAGTATTTACCACATTATTTGAGAGCAAAATCAGACCATCCATTAGCATTAGTCAATTACTGTAGGGAAATTAACACATTTCATTCCTTTTAAATTTCACAATACCACATGACTGGCTGCACAATAAACTTGAACAAAATACATGCACAGTCCATGCAAGAATGACTCGGGACCTACCTGGAATGTGTGCGTGACAGAGAAGTGACCTTACGACCATCGTGGGTGACGATCTGATTCAGCGCCAGCTTGGACAACGGATGCCAGTCGGGAAGAGGTTTCCGATCTGAAGAATCCCTGCCGTATGACAGAGGCGGCGAGTCCGCCCCCGACGAAGCATTCCACTGCACCCTGGGACATCCGACAAGCATGTCCGGATCGGCTGGTGACGCTTGGGAGTTGGAGGAGCAGGATTGAGTTGGGGAGGGGCTCTTGGTGGTGGGAGGCTCATTGGGGACCTGGACAGAGATTGGCAGGTTCATCATAGCACTAACACTGAGATTAGACGCAGAGGGGAGCCGGGGAAGGAGCCCTGCCCCGAGGAGACACGGCCCAGCCGCATGGTTGGCAAGAAGCAGTGGGTTCATGGAAGCTATCATGGAGGCTGTGGAGTAGGCGACAGTCATCTCGTCGCCGCTGGACACCGAGTGAGGAGGGGGAGGAACTGATGCTTCACCTTCACTCTCCTCCAAGATCTCCTGTTTGATCTTCAAGTCAAGATCAGGAGAGGAACTCTTTGCAGTGGAAGCAGTGTTGGAGCCTGGACTCAAGTTCCCCAGTTTTGTTGGAGCAGCAGACTTTCTTCTGGATTTCACTGGTGGACCATCTTTGCAAAATGAGATGAGTGATCGCTTTGGTGCCGTCATAATCTCCGAATTTGAATTCTCTTCCGGATCTTTCTCTTCAGCTTTGGTCTCGGATGGAGGCTCAGTGGTTTGGTTAGTGGGTGGTGGATCGCTGGTGTTTGTTGGTGGAGCAGACGGCATCACCACGGTTACCTCTTCCTTGATTCCATCCTTCTCCAGCATCTCTTTGGCTTGTTCCATGTCCTTTTGGTTCTGTTCTTCTTCGGGACGCTTTGGTAGAGTAGCTGGAGGGGCTGGTTCTGTGTCGTCCCCCTCCCCCTCCTGATCAGGGGCCCGACCCGGGAACTTGTCCCAGTAGGCGATTCTGAGCAAAGATCGATGTTTGGCCCTATTAAAACCTCTGGTCCCTTGTTTACTCAGGGTGGAGTCAGCATGGAAGAGACTCATGTGCTGTGACAGATTCACCGACTCACTGAATCCCTTCCCACACTCCTTGCAGTAGAACGCTTTCTGCCCTGTGTGGATTCGCTCATGTCGTTGCAGCAGAAACTGACGGGAAAATGTTTTACGACAAAATTTACATTCATGTACACCATTAAACCTGTTTGGCTTCATTTGGTTTAAATCTGGGGAGGTTTCTGATCCGTCACTTCTCACTTTCGTATTGTCAGACTCTGACGATGGGCTAATGCCCGAATTTTCATTCTGAGTATCAGTAGGTTCATCCTTTACGTGATAGTCTTCTTCATCCGACATAGCATTGTCAGTCCCGTCCACATTCTCCCCCTTAATCTTGTGTTTGAGAACATGCTGCACCATGAGTGACTTGTGTTTAAAGGTCGCATCACAGTACTTGCACTGGTAGGTCGTGATCTCCAGCTCAAAGTGCATCGACAGGTGGCACTGAACGCGACTCAGCGAGCTAAACATTCGCCCACATATATAGCATTTAAACATGGTGACCTCCTTCCCTGTCACAGAGTTAACGCCATCTAGTCTGGTTACAATTACAGTCTCGTTGCGTATACGTAACTTACTACACGTAAATTCACCATCGTCCACAATAGTTCCCTCGTGACCATTTTCTAAAGAGTCATTTAACAAACTGTCCTCATCTATCACTGAACCTTCACTTGTATTAGAAATCTGTCGGTTAATATTCTGGGTGAAATCATCGTTGTATTTTATCCACTTATCAGTGTTACAGGATGAACTAGAATTAACTTCCGCCAATTCTGAATCTATTTCCTCCATATCGTCCAGCTCCTCCACGTCCTGACCCCCACTCCCAGCAGCCAGCAGCGCTCGCTCCCGCTCCAGAATCTGGTCTTGTACGTGGAGCGACTTCATGAGAGCACGATTCTTCAGTCGTAAATACCGTTCCTCCAGTCCCTGGCTCAACTCGACAGCCATGTTGTGTGCTGCTCGTTGATGATAGAGCATACTGGCTTTGGCCTTGAAGCATTTTCCACACACCTGTCACAGATCAAACTCACGTTAGGGCGTTACCTAGCCACATTTCCCACACACCTGCCACAGATCAAACTCACATTAGCTCATTACCTAGCAAAATTTTCCACACATGTCACAGATCAAACTCACATTAGCTCATTACCTAGCAAAATTTACCATACACCTGTCGCAGATGAAATTCACATTAGCTTGTTACCTAGCAACATTTCCCCACACACCTGTCACAGATCAAACTCAGGTTAGGTCGTTACCTAGCAACATTTCCCACACACGTCACAGATCAAACTCACGTTAGCTCGTTACCTAGCAATATTTCCCACACAGCTGCCACAGATCAAACTCACATTAGCTTGTTACCTGGCAACATTTCCCACACACCTGTCACAGATCAAACTCACATTAGCTCGTTACCTGGCAACATTTCCCACATACCTGTCACAGATCAAACTCACATTAGCTCGTTACCTAGCAACATTTCCCACATACCTGTCACAGATCAAACTCACATTAGCTCGTTACCTAGCAACATTTCCCACATACCTGTCACAGATCAAACTCACATTAGCTCGTTACCTAGCAACATTTCCCACATACCTGTCACAGATCAAACTCACATAAGCTCGTTACCTAGCAACATTTCCCACACACCTGTCACAGATCAAACTCACATTAGCTCGTTACCTAGCAACATTTCCCACACACACTCGTTACCTATTTCTAATAAACACAGAATCCAACATGCACAGATATCAACAAGACTTGAATTAATACTAACCAGCTATGGATAAAGGCAATCGGATATCAATCTCTGGAATGATTCTAGATTTGAACAGATCCGTTTGAAGACAATCAAGGAAATTACAACTACTAGGCCACAAATCTTAAATATATGTGAGGTGGAGAGGGAAAATCTGATGACTATACCCTACATGTTGTAATATATGAATATATATTATCTGTAGGAGAAACATGTCAAAGTTTGGTCGATCCTATAGGGGGTTTGTATTGAACTAAAATCAACTTTGTCAATATCTATTAGTTTCTTGGCAAAAATCATTCCTGGTGGAGGCATGTCATTGGACACTGTTCCTACCTCACACTTGTATGGGCGTTCCCCAGTGTGCATGAGGATGTGCCGCTTGAGGTCACATGGCTTGGAGCACACTTTCCCACAGATGTTACAGGTTCGGTTGCTCAGCTTCTCAGCGCTTTCTTCTTCATCGTACTTCTGCCCCTCCGCTGCATACGCAATCTTGTGAACCGTGGGCATGTCGACCGTTTTGGACAGCAGTGCTCCGATCATGGAGACAGGTTCTTTCTCCCGGTCTTTCTCAGGGGGCTCTGCGACGTGGTTCACTTCCTGTCCGTCGGCGTCCTCGATGAACTCCCCTGTTGTCTCATCCAGGTGCGGTCCTGAGTAGTTTGTGAGGTCTTGCTTGATGCGGCTCTCTAGGGCTTCCCGCAACAGAGACGACGTGCAGAGGGAGACCCCCGCGCCAGGCTGGTGGGGCGGCGGCTTGTTCACCAGCTCGGGGTGGTACGTCAGTTGGTGGAGCTGGAGGCTTCGTTTGGCCTTGTAGGCTTTGTTGCACCCCTGAAACAGACAGTATAGTCTTAGGTTTGGTTTGGCCATGTAGGCTTTGAAACATGCAGTATAATGTTGGGTCTCAGGTTTGGTCTCCTTGTCTACAGGGAATTATTTAGGATTCCAAACTAAATGCTCTTGACAGGCAAGTTAGGAAAATATTAGTTTGTCAAAAACTGATAGTTTATATTCTTAAATACTGAGTTATATTAACATTGCAGTAATGTCCAACTGAACAGTAAAGACTCTTCTCTTTTTTCCTGTGAAATACAAGTCATAACACTAGTCTTATCTATATCCTGTGGAATACAAGTCATAACACTAGTCATATCTATATCCTGTGGAATACAAGTCATAATACAAGTCCTACCTATATCCTGTGGAATACAAGTCATAACACTAGTCATATCTATATCCAGTGGAATACAAGTCATAACACTAGTCCTATCTATATCCTGTGGAATACAAGTCATAACACTAGTCGTATCTATATCCAGTGGAATACAAGTCATAACACTAGTCATATCTATATCCTGTGGAATACAAGTCATAACACTAGTCGTATCTATATCCAGTGGAATACAAGTCATAATACTAGTCCTATCTATATCCTGTGGAATACAAGTCATAACACTAGTCATATCTATAACAAAATCAACTGGGACATCTTTCATAAATTTGGGAACTTTTAGTGACATTTGATCCAGACTTGATGCCAAATTTCGGCCTCTTTGCAGGGCAAGACAAATCCTTTGTAGAACGTTGCTGTCCGCAGTAGTTCAGCTACATCGCAGTCGGCCAGAAAGCTATTGATACAATGAACAATCTCCTACATTATTTGGATACAATGAATCCTGACTATCTGATCCATTTGTTTCAAACATAAGCATGATAAGTTACCATGGTTACTGACGACTTATTCTAACCAAGAATCTCCATGGCTGTTAAGAGCGTAGGAGTTTATTTTCTGCCTTGAAGATTATTTCAGTCATATCATGTGTGCGGAAAGATTGAAAGGATGCAGGACTGTTTATAACCTATGAGTATGGCTTTGACATCCATGACAGCAGACACTGAAGGGAGATTCACCTACAATAACCGTGTACAGAATCAAGCCTGGAGCCAAGAAAGTATTGTTACTGCTCTGAAACACGAACCTGGCACACAAACGGTCTTTCTCCCGTGTGTTTCCGTAGATGTCTGGCAAGAGCAGCGGGAGTTGGTTTGACGGCGCCACAGTATTCACAGGTCCGGTCCCGTAGTCTTGGGTGGTCTGTTGTCATTGGCTGATGGTTGGTCGTCTTGGGAGTCAGTGCTGATGGTTCTTGTTCGGGGAGTTCCGTGGCGGTGTCTTCTTGTTCACTCTCTTCAGCTTCGGTCTCACTTAAAGTCTTGTCGTTGTTGTTAGTTTCCTTCGTGGCCTTCACCTTGTGGTCCTCAAGGTCGGTCACAGTATCATCCCCCTCTTTGGCTTTAAGGAGCTGGGCCTGTTTTCGTGTTACTCTGACGAACTTGACGACTGGGTCAGCAGACTTTGAATCTGGTTTACCACTGTTGGGGTCCTTATGCTCATCCTTCAAGTTCGGTGCAGTACTAGGAGAATCTTCTTCATCGGAGCCATCTGAAAATACACAACATTATCCAAAAATAAGATTGTCCTGTAGTCGTAGTCCTTGTCAAACTGACTAAGGTATCTAGGAGAAATTGGCCCCTTAAAGGGTTTTGCTACATGGAATCATTATAAGGACTAGTGGACTAAAAATTGTAGTTTCTACAGCTGTTATGTTTAGTATGGGCTAGAGACCTGCTATCACAGTGGCGTGGTGGAGAGAACTTGTCCAGAGTTGACAGAAAACATTGAGGAATCTGAATAACCCATAGCAATATTGCATTGAAGTTGGTACAGAGTGAATGTTGTATCATGTTTTTAGCACTCTTCCAGGCAGATCACGCATCCTGCAAATAATCATTCCTTAGAACAGTGGGCGTCAGACTGCATGGCTCGAAATTCACTTAAGTCCGCTTGTCTGAAACTAGTAATGTTTGTTTGTTGTTTAACGCCGCACTCAGCAATATTCCAGCTATATGACAATGGTCTGTAAATAATCGAGTCTGGACCAGCCAATCCAATGATTGACATCATCGATCCACACAATTGGGATACGATGACATGCATCAACCAAGTCAGCGAGCCTGACCACCCGATCCCGTTAGTCGCCTCTTACGACAAGCAGTCGCCTTTTACAACAATCATGGGTTGCTGAAGACCTATTCTTCCCCGGATCTTCATGGGTCCAGGGAAAACTAGAGATATTACCTTGTGGACGACCACATTTGCCCCTACTAATTAGATGGCAACTCTGTCGCAGATCCTTTATGCGAGCAAGTGGAAATAAATACATTCTCACCCAGACATACAGAGAAGCCTTGCTAATCCCGAGACCACAATGCCACCGATGCACAATATACAGTGTGCACCTCTTAATCTGGACTTTGATACTTTAACTCAATTTAAAATCATTTTGGGCTAAAAGATTTCCAGAATAAGGAATCACGGGAAGCAGTAATGTTTCATTCATTATGTGAACTGTATTGAAGACAATATCAACTGTTACCATGGTAACCGTCTGGAAAATGGAATCCTACCTGTCATGGTGCAGAATAATGGTGACCGGACTTACTTAGATCAAACAGGGTCCTGACTAACAGGGCGGAGCCTAGCAGGGTCCTGACTAACAGGGCGGAGCCTAGCAGGGTCCTGACTAACAGGGCGGAGCCTAGCAGGGTCCTGACTAACAGGGTGGAGCCTAGCAGGGTCCTGACTAACAGGGTGGAGCCTAGCAGGGTCCTGACTAACAGGGTAGAGCCCAGCAGGGTCCTGACTAACAGGGTAGAGCCCAGCAGGGTCCTGACTAACAGGGCAGAGCCTAGCAGGGTCCTGACTAACAGGGTAGAGCCTAGCAGGGTCCTGACTAACAGGGTAGAGCCCAGCAGGGTCCTGACTAACAGGGTGGAGCCTAGCAGGGTCCTGACTAACAGGGTGCAGCCTAGCAGAGTCCTGACTAACAGGGTGGGGCCTAGCCGGGTCCTGACTAACAGGGTGGGGCCTAGCCAGGTCCTGACTAACAGGGTGGAGCCTAGCAGGGTCCTGACTAACAGGGTCCAGGCTAACAAGGTCAAAACTAACAGTCTCCTGACTAATAGGGTCCAGACAAACAGTGTATTGATTAACATTGTCCTGACTAACAGTGTCCAAACTAACAGTGTCCTGACAAACAGTGTGTTGTTTAACAGTGTCCTGACTAACAGTGTCCAAACTAACAGTGTCCTGACAAACAGTGTGTTGTTTAACAGTGTCCTGACTAACAGTGTCCAAACTAACAGGGTCCAAACTAACAGTGTCCTGACAAACAGTGTGTTGTTTAACAGTGTCCTGACTAACAGTGTCCAAACTAACAGGGTCCAAACTAACAGTGTCCTGACAAACAGTGTGTTGTTTAACAGTGTCCTGACTAACAGTGTCCAAACTAACAGGGTCCAAACTAACAGTGTCCTGACAAACAGTGTGTTGTTTAACAGTGTCCTGACTAACAGTGTCCAAACTAACAGGGTCCAGACAAACAGTGTCCTGACTAACAGGGTCCTGACTAACAGTGTATTGATTAACATTGTCCTGACTAACAGTGTCCAAACTAACAGTGTCCTGACAAACAGTGTGTTGTTTAACAGTGTCCTGACTAACAGTGTCCAAACTAACAGTGTCCTGACAAACAGTGTGTTGTTTAACAGTGTCCTGACTAACAGTGTCCAAACTAACAGGGTCCAAACTAACAGTGTCCTGACAAACAGTGTGTTGTTTAACAGTGTCCTGACTAACAGTGTCCAAACTAACAGGGTCCAAACTAACAGTGTCCTGACAAACAGTGTGTTGTTTAACAGTGTCCTGACTAACAGTGTCCAAACTAACAGGGTCCAAACTAACAGTGTCCTGACAAACAGTGTGTTGTTTAACAGTGTCCTGACTAACAGTGTCCAAACTTACAGGGTCCAGACAAACAGTGTCCTGACTAACAGTGTGTTGTTTAACAGTGTCCAAACTAACAGGGTCCAGACAAACAGTGTCCTGACTAACAGTGTGTTGTTTAACAGTGTCCTGACTAACAGTGTCCAAACTAACAGGGTCCAGACAAACAGTGTCCTGACTAACAGTGTGTTGTTTAACAGTGTCCTGACTAACAGTGTCCAAACTAACAGGGTCCAGACAAACAGTGTCCTGACTAACAGTGTGTTGTTTAACAGTGTCCTGACTAACAGTGTCCAAACTAACAGGGTCCAGACAAACAGTGTCCTGACTAACAGTGTGTTGTTTAACAGTGTCCTAACTAACAGGGTCCAGACAAACAGTGTCCTGACTAACAGTGTGTTGTTTAACAGTGTCCTGACTAACAGTGTCCAAACTAACAGGGTCCAGACAAACAGTGTCCTGACTAACAGTGTGTTGTTTAACAGTGTCCTGACTAACAGTGTCCTGACTAACAGGGTCCAGACTAACAGGGTCCAGACTAACAGGGTCCTGACTAACAGTGTCCTGACTAACAGTGTCCAAACTAACTTGGTCCTGACTAACTGGGTCCTGACTGACAGGGTCCTGACTAACAGAGTCCAAATTAACTGTGTCCAAACTAACAGGGTCCAAACTAACAGGGTCCTGACTAACAGTGTCCATACTAACAGGGTCCAGTGTCCTGACTAACAGGGTCCAGACAGTGTCCTGATTAACAGTGTCCTGAGTAACAGTGACCAAACTAACAGTGTCAAAACTGACAGGGTCCTAACTTACAGGGTCCAGACTAACATTATCCAGGCTAACATTGTCCAGACTAACAGTGTCCTGACTAACAGCGTCCGCAGTGCCCAGACTAACAATGTCCTGATTATCAAGGTCCTGACAAGCAGGGTCCTGACTAATGGTGTCCAGACCAACAGGGTCCTGACTAACAGAGTCCGCAGTGCCCAGACTAACAATGTCCTGATTATCAAGGTCCTGACAAGCAGGGTCCTGACTAATGGTGTCCAGACCAACAGGGTCCTGACTAACAGGGTTTCACTGTTTGTATAAGTACTGAGACAAGGCTGGTACAGAATTCAGTCAACAGTCTAATCAAGCAGTTCAGAATACCTACCTCAGAATGTAGCACCAGTGATTCTGCCCGAGACCAACATCATTAGGCACATTTTATTATCATAGCCAATTTACATACTACATTCTTCTATACCGTCATCAAAATTTTAAAAAATAATGGGACATTTTGACTAACAATCAGTAAATGTCCTAGAAAATGAACTGATCTGAAACCCTGATCACATTGAGACAGTTCTGTTGTAATTGCAACATAATGTCATAAAGAAATAGTTTTTCTAAGATGCAATATCATGAAGATTCACATGTAAGTACTTCAGACTGTTCATCATCAAATTCCATTTTACAAGTGATGACAAATACCAAACAATTGTTCTAATCCTGAGCAATTTTTTTCAAACTTGAAACCATATCCTGCCGAGGACAAACACAACCATCATCTACCTCCTTGGAAAATGCACAGCCATGACTTGTTTCACAAGAAGTGTCATAGCATTATCTGACGTTTAATGACATCCCGTCCCCGTTGATCACCAGTACATGTCCTCATTAAGTCACCACCAGTCAACTTGGAGCAACCCGGGGCTTCCGGGGAGGGGAGGGGAATGATGATATTCAAACAACGACAGATTGCAATCAATCAAAAAGTCCCAATACAAATTCCTCTTAATCTTGATGAACACAAACATTCCCACCGCTGGGTTTTACACATGTCGAAACCATCACTTCCAACACCGCAAATATCGTAATGAGTGGAATTTGTATAAAATTTTCTCCCCGGTCAATACGATTTCCATATTCCCTGTTTGGTGGGATGTGATAACAAAGTTATACAATGTTCTTACCTGAGCACAACCACACACTTGAAGGTAGGAAATTCCATTACAATAGAGGTAAGGACAGTGTCACACCTGAAATATACCTCAAGCTGTGTAATGGCCGAGACAACACAGTGAAGTATTTTGAGTTGAGTCCAGTGGCATACCAACACCGCACATCAGGGTCTGAGCGACGACATGGAGGCCGCGAGACAAGGGAAGGAATGCAATGTTCAAACATGCCGTGTTGTTTAACCCTAATGTTTGGTTTGTGTGTGATCGCAAATGCTCGTACATGTCGGGGAGAAGGACAAATTGCTAGTGGGGCGTGTGAGCGGATGGACGCGCACTGTCCTCGTTGGAGACATTCTATGTAGACGCAAGTCAACATCGTTCAGAGGAAGCTTGGACTTCTCTAGCGCACACATTGAGATCTTTTTATACACCGGTGGTGTTGACATAATAGACGGTCTTAATGCTATACAACCTATCAAATGCACTGCTTTCTTACAGCTAACCCAATCATTTGGGCCTTGTACATACGAAACTGTTTTCAATAATCTCACACCAACAATCAGGACATTTTTTTGTTCCTCTTAATTATTCTATGTTTACCCAGCATAACAAATGCAAATTTTTGCTGAAATATTCAAGTGTGACAAA